CAAGGGGGGGGGGGGGTGAAAGAATAAAGAAGTGTCAGGGGCTTGGGGGGAAAGCATAGGGATTTTTTTTCTTTTTTTCTTTTTTCTTTTTTTATAAAAGTTGACTGGCCTACCTTGTTCCCCAGTCCTCAGTTTGTCTCCTCATAGTCGCTGTCTCCCTGGAAGTACAGTGTGAGTGGTAATGACTGCCTGCCTCCCTAATGAGTCCATTTTCCTGCTCTTGATGTTGTGTATATACACACACTGCAACCTACCTTACAAACCACAGAGACGGGAAAGGGAGAGAGAGCGAGGGAGAGAGAGAGAGCCAGAGGGAGAGCAAGCGGGAGTATGAGACAGAGAGAGAGAGGGAGAGAGAGAGAAAGGCACACACAGACAAAGCCCTCCTACCAGACAGCAGACAACCCTCCTTCCCCTATCTAGCAAAATACAACTCGGCTAATGCAGCAACAGGTTCAATACTGCCAGACTGACACAGTGTAAAAAAGGTACATAGTGCAGATCCGGACTGCTGGCAAATAAACAGTTTAATGCCAGCTGGCTCCACCTTTGTTATTTATGTTACAGGATGTTGGAATGCATTGTTTCAGACAGTCCGTGTCATTACCATAAATACATTTTTTGTGCATATTAGCACTGAGCACTGAGACGTATCAGCCATTCTGCTCCGTAACCTTATAGCTTTAACACATGCAGGGAAGGTGTAAACATATCTCTTTTGACAGGCAGACTACACAAAGCCTGCTGATGATTTTAAAGTCATGAGATCTTTCAAGAAAGAAGCTCCTGAAGATAGGTTTCCCCAGACAATAGGGGAGCAGGGAAAACTGATCTTGATGAGGAAGAAGTCTCTGTAAGAGGTCATTTAGCAAACAGTTTCAAAGAAAGAGTCCTTCTCCCCAACACTGTTCTCCTCTCCCACCAAAAAAATGTGTATTAGGAAGGTTCTGCCCTTACAGCTATAATAATATACTGTGCTTATGTCTGAACAGGTGCAATGCATATAGTACATAGTGTTACAAGGACAGAAATAAATCCCTCAAATAAAAAAAAAACCTTTTCCCATTTGCAAACAGGACAAGGTTACTTAAAATAAAAAGCCAGACTGAAGTACATTCTCCTCCTACTCCCCATTTTTTAACCTGGTGGGAGTGGGGAGAAAAACCAGAACCATAATTAGTGTTGCTGGATTGGTCTTATTTTATAGAAAACTTGGTTTTTTTTTAACTATCCTACCACATTGAAACAAAAACAACCATACATGGGTCACATCAATACTGCATTCTGTGCCCAAAATTATGTTGGCACAGTCCTCCCCCTGAGCACACCAGCTGATACCATGTATACAGCTTTCACTGAGAGATCCCCACACTGGAAGGTTGCAAGACCAGGAGGCTATGATACGTTGTAATTACAGACTCTTTCAACCAAGGATCTCAAAGAGTTTTGGAAAGGTGTATCCTATTCCTCGTTTTAAGTGGGGGAAACTGAGGCAGGGGTGAAGAAATTTGTGAATCAGTAGGAAAACAGAGATTAAAACTGCAAATTTCCAGACATTTTAGGCAAAAGCCAGACTGGCTTCCTAGTTATGCACTTCCAACTTTGGCTTCAACATGCATAAAAACTAGACATTGGCCCTGAAGGACAGGATTCAGGTGCCTCAGAAGGGTAATCCAGAGAGCCTGAAGCCACCTAGGGACAGAACAAATAATAAACATGGGCTGTGTCTGAACTCTCTAGACAGTAGACACCCGAATCACAGTAGGCACATCTGCTCACTTCAGAATCCACAGCCCACTTTCAAGGGGAGGTGCCTAACTGGGCAACCAGTGGGAGTTTGGGATTGTTGGCCCTCCCTAGGCTGAGATGATTCAGATCCATACCTCCCTTCATCCAAGGAGAGTACCTACCGCCCCAGGCGTGGCAAGGGTTCCTGCCACCTCTCTTGTTGAGGCTGGACTACGTAACCAAGTAATTCAAAGTAGGTACAAGAAGGGAAGCAAACAACAGTTGTGGCATTCAGGGAGTCCTGGGTTCCAGCCCCTGCTCCCAGAATGTGGTTATGCATTTTGCATTGGATCATCAGTGGATAGAAATCGGACATAATCCTGAGAGCAAGGTTCAGAGCCCAGGCCTGGATTCTAGCTGGGCCTTTGTCCTTGATCTACTCTGGCTACAAATATGTCACCTGACCACTATGCCTCAGTTTCCCCATCTGTAAATGCATGTTGGTAACAGTTATTTTTCCTATAGGGCAGAGGTTTCCAAACTTTTTCTGACTGCATACCCCCTTCCAAATTTACCAGCTGCCCATGTACCCCACCATCATATGTTTTATATTTTAACCCCTTGAATGCTAATCATTATAATGAAAATTAAATCTACCATTACACAATTTTTCCTGCATACCTCACAAAGATGTCTTGCATGCCCCCAGGGTATACATATCACAGTTTGGGAACCACTGGTATAAGGGAAGCTGAGAGGAGTAAATCATTTACACTGGTAAGGAGTTTTCTCTTTCTGGGTTGATCTACGTGAAACCTAGCCGCTGATGTTCACAGGAGTTTGTGCCATTCTGTATGTTTCATACCACATGGATTTCACATCCAGAAACTTAGAGAGGCAAATCAGGATATCAGATAGAAAGCGCCTTTAAATCTTTGAGGGATATTTTCCTACTATACACAGTGGATTAAATCCAAAAAAGAGATCTTAGCCCCCATCAAGTTTTGGCAGAATTCAGAGAAACAGATCCAAGATGATCACGTTATGAAAGTACATATCCAAATGACAGCCTGAGAATCTAATCTGAACCACATCACCTTTTTTGAAATTCAGATTTAGATGTGAATGAGAGAATTTGATTCAGGCCCTTTCAAGCTGAAGGAAGGTTTAGCTGCACTAGCTCACAACTTCACATGTCTTTTTGGCATTTCAGATCAGTACTCAAACTGGAAAGTCTGGATCCAGATATAAATCACAAAACTGGATCAGATTCCTACCCAGTTTTGGGAAGTTCAGAACTAGATCTAAACTGGAATGCCAAAACCTCCCAAATAACTGCTGAAATTTGAGTCTGGATCAGAACCGTAGAACCAGATCTGAACCCGCTCAAACTTCGAGAGGGCTTAGACCCCGGCATGACTTCGAGAACCAAATCCAAACCTTCTCAGGGTGTAAGGCAGTTTGGATCTTGATCAGATCCACCTCTTCGTACAAATTCAGATTTGTATCTGAACTGAATCCTAGGCTCAAACTGTAGGGA